CTCTCTCTTTCTCTCTCTATCACCCCCCCTCTCTCTCTGTCGGTCTCTCTGTCTCCCCCCTCTCTCTCTCTGATCGTATGTATATATGTATGTGTGTGCGTTTGAGGGGGGTGGGGTGGGGGGCGACGTGGGAGCGTTGGATTCTCGAGTATGTGGGAAGAGTTTTTACAAAACGTGCCAGTGTTTAGTGTTGGTGGTGCGGGTAGCCTATGTGCGGAATGTGTCTGTGTCGAGGAAGTGCTGTTTCGGTTTCTAGCTATGGATTAATTTAACAATGCGTGTTTGGATTTTTATTTTACACATTATTTCCATTCTGCGTTCCCCCAAACTTAGTACAGTGAGTGTTCATGACTGGATTTATTGCAAATATTATATTTCTATTCCTGTTGGATGTGTTGCTCGGTTGTTATGATTATCTCCTCTGTCTTTCAGCTGAGACTTTGATTCCCTCTTACTTATTTAGTAGTAGAGGTTTTACGGCGCTCGCAACTACATACGGCCATATGAGCGCCAAGGGGTGGATGTCAACAGAGAAGTCCTCTTATTCCGTGTTGACCTTAACAGGCAGGTTCGAAGCAGCCCGCTTCCTAAATACTTTAAAATGTGTTGATGGAGGCGTAGAGTATGTATGTCAAGAAAATAGAATATAATATGATCTAAACGTTTAGCTTAGCTCTTGGGTTGTTGGAGGGCGCCAAAGGCAGGTGTTACTTCTTTTCTTTCGCTCTGTTAGATTCGGTCTTATTTATTTATTCCTGCTCCAAGTAGCCCTTATTGTGTGTGGGTGGTTGGGTGGTGCGTTTGGTGTGGCTTGCTCCTTCTTTCCTATCAAATATCTAGGCCTATCTTTATTGTCTCTCCTCCTTTTTTTTTGTATGTTACTTTCTAGTAGAATCGTCCCTTGTCTTTGCCATCAGTATCAACTATTTGTTTTGAAAGGGCCGTGAAGTTCTTGTTAAATCTTTTTAGTTTCGTTTAGTAAGGTTTTACGTAAGGTCATATGAGCGCCAATGGGTGAATGTCAACAGAGAAGTCCTTACAGGGAATCAGGCTTACTTTGCTCACCTCTCTGTCCTCAAGAGCACACAGTTTACTTCGGCTATCAGGGCATCCCGGAAATACCAGTTCACAAGAAGAGTGTGACAAAAATACAAAAGAAGTAGAGAAAAAATGACGGTAGTAAGGATGAGGAAAGAAAAAGCAGCAGTTCCCCCTATGTTGTTCCGACCATTGTTGTGTTGACGTGCTTTTCTTTACTCAAGGAGAAAAACGACCCAGCTGTTTGGCTTTCTATCGCTCAAGGACCCCAGACCCTCAATATACATCAATTATTGTGAGAGTGAAAGTGTTATCAGATGTAGCAAACAGATTTCTACTAGCTTGTACTATTGCTATATATGTATGTGTGTGTGTGGGGGGGGATGTGTCTGCCTGTGTGTGTGTGTGTGTGTGCGCG